CGGACAGACGGACAGACAGACAGACAGACAGACAGACAGACGGACGGACGGACGGACGGACGGACAGACAGACAGACAGACAGACGGACAGACGGACAGACACACGTACAGACGGACAGACAGACAGACAGACAGACAGACAGACAGACAGACAGACAGACAGACAGACAGACAGATGAACAATGGATGGATGGACGGTTGGTCGGACAGACATACAGAGAGACAGACATAATACGACGGTCCGATGGACTATCTATCTATCTATCTATCTATCTATCTATCTATCTATCTATCTATCTATCTATCTATCTATCTATCTATCTATCTATCTATCTATCTATCTATCTATCTATCTATCTATCTATCTATCTATCTATCTATCTATCTATCTATCTATCTATCTATCTATCTATCTATCTATCTATCTATCTGTGTACGACTTCTAGCTCTTCTGGCCGTTTTCATAATGGTATCTATACCGAAATTGGCATGCCATAATATGAATGTATGACGAGCATAATTGATTAGTAATAACATGAACATCATGACATGTTGTCATTGATGTCATCATTTACATTTCATGGTCTTACTGCTTTTGCGGTGGTTTAGTTGACCTGAAATATTCAAAAACTGGTATGGTATGACGTGACTGATTGACGAACAGAAGTGACAGACCTTAACGTAGAAATCATGCCATGTTTGTCATGTAAGCCATCACTACACTTCACTCTGATCGTGCGCTTGCGGTCGTTTCACTAGCTTCACATATAGCGGATTTGGTATTACGGGACGTGAATGAATGACGAAGGTATATGACTGGTGCAAACAGGAATATCATGATATGCGTGTCATGTAACAACAAGACTGCATGCCTTGCTCGTGATGCGCTCGACGCCGTTGTGCTAGCTCCACATATAGCAAGTTTCGTATCACGTCACGTGAATAGATGACGAATGAATATGACACGTCCAAACATGATAAACATAACATACAGGCCACTTAAAACATGACTACATGCTACGCTCATAGCACGCTTGCGGCCGTTTTGCTAGCTTCACACATATATACCGAATTTGGTATCAGCTGACGTGAATAGACGACGAACACAAATGCCAGGTTCAAACACGGTAATCATAATATGGAAGTGATGTACGGCATAATTAACGTCTGCCTCGTAACGTGTTTCTTATCTTAACAGTGACATATCAGCCTTCCTCATTCGTGCTTCGCATAACATCGATCACCACTGTATGCGGAGTCTGCCAATTGTTCTCACTTAACAAACCAACGCCTCCGCCACCGAAGCCTATAGAGCTCGTAAACGCTTACAATTAAAACTTTAGAAACCATCTAATTTATGCTTGCCACGGCACTGTGCATAAAATTTGAATGTACCACCGTGGCGCGCGCATATACGCACGCTAGATTGCGCGATACAACTTCTTCAGGAAAGCGCCAGGGTTGCGGAAGACGTGCCGAGCGTCGTAAAGCACTTGCTAAAACGAGGTACATGCTTATATATCCTTGACTACGTTCAACCCAGATTTACGATGCGTACGCATAAGAAGTAATAGCTAAAGCGCCAGGCCTCAGTATATTAAAGGGTTTGGGATAGTCGAGGTATATTGAAAGGTTTTTGTTAATGTTCACCCCCGTTAAATCGCCACGCTGGCGTAGCAGTTTGTGACGTCAATGACAGTCAGGAAGACTGATAGAATGGTCGACGACATGCACTGCTGCATTGTGCGGCACTGGCGTTATTAGGAGATGCCTGATGAGGCTGCATAAGTGGCCGTTCATATTGGAACTGCTAAGAGTGGCTAAAGAAATTTCACAAGCGTGAAAATACCCGAATAGATCCGCAGGGCCTCAGTTTATGCATCCCGCTAAGCATGCAGACTTCTAGCGGAATAACGCCAAGTTGTCGAAGTTGCTGTAGCGGTGCCTCTCGAAATTGCATTGTGGTTTTCGGACGTAAACTGTAATATCCGGGGCTTTTACGTCCTGATCCACGATATGATTATGAAAGATGTCGTGAGGGAGGGCTTCAGAAATGTCGAACATCTGCTGTTCTTTAACGTGCACCAAAGTCACCCGGTACGTGGGTCTCTACCATTTTGCCTTGAAATTCAACTACGTTTTCGGGAACGAACCAGCGAACTTCTGAGCAGCAGTCGAGCTCCCTAACCAGTTATCCATCGTGGCGGACGGGACGTAAACTCCCAGCTTAAAAAAACAAACAAACAAAAAAACTTGAAGATGAAATGCTTTTGCTGTGGCTGTTGATAGCATGCCTAATCGCGCGGGCACCGCTTTTTTCATCGGCAGTTACACCAACAGTTATCGACTCGACAGTTGCCTATTACTTTTCCAAAAAAAACATAAGATATTACGTGTGACAAGTCTCTACGAATACCGACTTCTATATTCATTTTGTTTGGGCTCGGACGACATCAAATCCTTCTTCAAATATACATCACGACTTGAATACAAAATTAGTGACTCGCGCACTCGTAGCCATGACATGTGGTCCGTATACATACAGGCGCACAAATTACATTATGCAATCTCTGAGGCGTAGCCCACGTTCGATACTAAATAAATTGGAAAGGAAAGGATTTATTCCAAATATCTTGACACGCAAAGAAATTCGAGAATACTTTTGGAAGTATGAGTGAAGGGATAAAGAAAACAGTTCGTGTACTTTCGCATTTTCCCCCTTCTTAACGTTTTTCTCTATCAGTTTTTCGATAAACATTGTAACATACCATTGAATATCACAGCAACGTTGAATACTAGTCATTTTCTTTGTGTTGTAACTGCCACTGTTTATATATATAGGAATTCATTAGGACATTTCCCCTTTCTAAATGCATTGGATTTGTATTTTTATAAATATCGTGTTTTTAAGTGTTATTTCGTACGTTCTTTTTTTTCTCAATTTCAATAAAATTGTAGATGTCTCATATATACTGAAAACATGTATGTATGCCGATTTCGATGTTACTCCTGCCATGTGAGGGCCTTCAGGCACATTCAAGCTGTATGATGCAGCTTTTCGCCAGGCGGACCCCCATCAATTTCGTCGGAAAATAAAAAACCTTTCTGATTCTGGTTCTAACAAGCGGGAAACCCCTGGCAGGCATGCGGAATAGAGATATATAAGCCCCTCTGCTCGCACGTCGGTGCACTCAATGTTTCATGATCGCCCACTCGGCCAGGACCATCTTGCGGCAGGATGGCAGGGTGCGGTGAACCAGATCTCGATGTTACGCTTTTCAGTCCATTTCTGCTGCCGTCCACTCCGCAAGGCAAAGCGCCACGGTGGTATATAGTGGCTAGGGCACTCGGCTGCTGACCCGCAAGTAGCGAAATCGAATCCCGACCACGGCAGCCTCATTCTCGATGGTGGCAAAAATGCTGTAGGCCCGCGTGCTAAGATTTGAGTGCACGTTAAAGAAACCCAGGTGGTCGAAATTTCCAGAGACCTCCACTACAGCGTTGCTCATAATCCTATGGTGGTTATCATAACTACGAAAGGGAAGTCTATTGTCTGAGACAAAGAAAAAATGCTTTTAGCATCTTTCCTTGCCCGGCCTTGCTGTGGTCGTCCTGGATCACACGTCACTGCACAACAGGAAAGCTTGGGTCCTCCGAACTAATTAATTTTTTTGCCACATTTCTATCAAGATCGGATGAACCACTTGAAATGACGTGTTCGAATATGCTAAAATAGTTATTTCTGCGTCACTTGTTTAAGTTTTACTCTGTTAGTTCGTTATTTGTGACATATTAATACATATGTCTTTGTCTCCTGCATCATACGAGGCCATGCGAACATCGTGGTCAATTTCATGTAAAATCTCCGAAAGTCATCGTGTCCACCGGATTCACGCCTGACATGATAGAGCTCCAATATTTTTTGGAACCAGGGAAGTAGGCACCGCAAATCTTTGTTCAGGCTGCTAGCCTCGGTTCAATCCGAAATCTCCTAACGTGCTTCTTCGCGAGTGTTTGGCATTGTAATGTCTGGCATGTTATAGATACAAAATACCTCAAAAACAGAGAAAAATCAAAGGAGTAGCAACCCCTTCATCTGGGTGCGCCAGTATACATATATGGTGACGTTTCCCCACATGCTTGTGTAGCTCACAATTCTTGTAGATGAGTTGTGGTGTAACAAAAACATAAGTAGCACCGCCATTTTCTTTCTTTCCTTATGTGTGTTTAGAAAAAAAAATGTTTAACGATTTTAAGTACTTGGTACTCAACTATGGGAGATCACTAAGCCGTCCCTCTAAAAGAGGCTATGCAGAGCTAAAAAAAAAAAACTTGAATTCTCGTGTTTTAGCCTTGTTATAAAAAGTATAAACGCATTGAAACGACGAAAAGCTGCACCAGGACATGATGTACTTATTGGAAACGACGCGTATAAAGGCGCATGTGACCAACGGACGTATGAGGGCCGCATTGGGGTACCTTCAACGAGCCTGGTTTCAGCGTACGACAAAGCCGACCCCCAAAGTGGCAACACCTCACATGCTTTGCCCGAGAAGAGTGCTGCCGAGCTGTGAGCGGCTGTGTTATTCCCACGAAATTTTATGGAGTAGCTCTGTGCCGGAAACGTAATTTATTGTGAATTTGAGAAATAAAATTCGCTGCTATCAGTACCTCCAGACGCGTCACGATGGTCTATAGGGGCTATCGTGCTCCCGAAGCGGCTTACTTGCAGGTCGGGGGATCGAATCCCGCTCGCGATGGCAGCATCTTCGACGAAGACGAATATGCTACAGGCCCGCGTTCATGAATTTTCGGAGCACGTCAAGGAACCTTGAGTAGTCGAAACTTCCGGAGCCCTCCAGTATATACGGCCCGCCTCGTAATCATACTGTATAGTTTTAGGGACGGAAGACTATAGCCACCATCATTGCAACACCGTATCACTCTTTGCGCAGCAAGTGCCGCCCAACTGAACCCCGGCATAGCTTTGTAGAACATACCTGGTGCTATCTCAGGGTTGCAGTATGTTGTGGCGCAGATGTGGCGCTTGCGTTGCCCGAATCCGGCAATGGCGCCTGAGCCAGTGCGTTTCTGCCCGCCCGACGTCCGAGAGATGCCTTCGCTTGCAACGAACCGGCAGACAGCTTGCTCTCTCGGGTGATGTCTGTCTGACCACGTGACGTGTATGAGTACTCGACGAATATAAGAAAAAAAAAAGCACTACGGGGCTCGATTGGCTCCGTACTGTGGATACTAGAAAACCGTGTACCTCTAACAGTACAGTTTGAGGGAGAAAAAGTGCGAGAAAGAAGGAAAGAAAGAGAGAGAGAAAGAGGGCACAACTGTTTACCGTCGTTGCATTTCGCCCGTTAATCGACGCAATACGGCAGCACGTAATCTCAAACGCGCTTCCTCCAACTGGCTATTGACCGATGCACAGTTCATCAATACAAGGAACTCGCGTTACGACAGCGCGGTGCCAAGGGAGGCGCGACTTATATGAATACGGTAATGCGAGAATACATATATTTATTTTTTTCGCCACCGTGTAGACCACGAGCACGTCGACTGCCATTTTTTTTCTTATTTTCTTGTTTCCCGGTGTTGACGCTGTCGAACACCGAAGATTGTCGCATAGCACATGCCGGCAACGAGTCGTACATCGCTCTTTCAAACTTGTAGCAGCTGTCTCAATTTTGTGGCTGATAAGCGTCACCGTGCTGCCCTTATAGCAAATTAGGTGAACATTTTAGGCTTTCCTTTTTTTTTGAATCTCCGGCATGTTCCTGCGTCCCGCAATTTCTGGCGTGCAGGTGCAGGATGTCGGGCAGACGCTGGCCGGCTAGTGACAATAACATGACAAATGAATGTTACAAAGAGAAATCTTGCAGGACTGGTGCCATGCTAGGCGGACGAGGTCAATTTACGCCACGCTGGAGATCTACCACAAGTACGTTTCGAAAACGTGTGGCGGCTTAATTTGCATTGTGCCTGCGGGTTGGCTTAAACAATAGCAACGATGATATACTTCGAAAATGTGTCACTTTAGACAACAGTAACGGGGCTCAATACGAGGAAGTGAACCGCAGGCCGCGGGATTGAATCCCGGCTGCAGCGGCTGCATTTCCGATGGAGGCGGAAATGTTGTAGGCTCGTGTGCTCACATTTGGGTGCACGTTAAAGAACCCCGAATGGTCGAAATTACCGGAGCCCTCCACTATACAGCGTCTCTCATAATCATATGCTGGTTTTGGGACGTTAGACCCCCCATATCATCATCAGTGAAGTAATGAGGTAAAGAAGCAGCTACATCATTCCCTGGCCTAGGTTGTCGCGCGTTCGCGGAGTGCCATTTCCAGCTTGACACTTCGCAGTACGCTCTAAAAAAGGGAAGCAAAAAAAAAAAAGAGCGTCTTCAATAGTCTTTTTGGTTGAGTTCTGCCTTGCCGCGTGTGTGACTCCTTTTTAAACGGACAAGTTCACTCTCTTTTCGGTGTCTCTACTTTTCGGAGAGAGCATATCGCTCCCCAAAGAGAGTGCACACGACTTTTCAAAGAGAGTAGTATACGTGGTCATTTAGTACTCCCAAAAAGGAGTCAAAGGGCGGTGGTTTTAGCCTGTAGACGCACTGATAAATTCATAACTCTAGCAATATTAAATTTCACATGTCAAATAAAAGGAAGAAAAAAGGAAATTTGCTATTTTAGCAACACGAAATGAGAGCAACTCGCAGCGTTTGCAACCAATTTTTTTTTCGGAGGGGATGGGGGGGGGGGGGCACTTCTTCGGTCATAGCAGACGAATAGTCATGTCACGCTCTGTATGCCATTGCGAAAAAAAAATTCGGGGGGGGGGGGGCGGACCCAGTGTGCCATTCCCTGGCTACATAATTAGGGAAGAGGAAATAAAGATGAGGAATGAATAGGTATATCCTTGTAGCATGTAGTGGCCAAAATACTTCACCAGGTTGGCCAAGGGAGTGCATTACCGGCTGTGGTGACCAGTTAGCACTCACCACAGGCCCTTAATGCGATTCCCTACTTGTGTGGCGAAATGAGTGGCACCGGGATTCGAAGCAGTGACCATTTCCATGCGAAGACGACGACTGGATTTCAAAAGACGACAAACACATGAAGGGGAGACGGTAAGATAGATGAACAGCTGCCACTAAGAAGTTCGCCGGTATGACGTTGCCGCAGAAAGCACAGGATCGACAGAGTTCATTGGCGGAACATATAGGAAAGGTCTTTGCCCTGCAGTGAGAGCAGTCATGCTAATGATGACGTTGAAGACAGGGAAGGAGAAAAAGGGAAGATTGGTGTCCATCGGCGAAGAGTCAGCGGCTGCCTCCTACAGCCGGTCGTAAACGCGACTTTGTGAGCCATTTTATCTAGCGAGGACGAACTTCGCCGTTCGTTGTATGCGGTTGCCCTCCATTCATCGATTGTCATGACTGTGACACTGAGACCCTGTGAATATTCGGTGCTCTTAAGGCAAGAGCCTTATATGCCACATCAAATTCAAAAAATGGCCGCCAGCGCCAATGAAGTTTTCGACACTTGCCGACAAAGGATGGTACTTCGCTATAGAGCGGCATCGTTGTCGACATGAAGGGTTCAGGCAAAAGTGAAGTAATGAAATGCAGTTAAATGTCACGTGATCCTGAAGTGATTGTGCGTGTGTGTGTAGTCACCGTATCAAGTCGCA